TTCCGGTATGTTAGGGTTTTGGGGGGGGTTTTAAAACCCGTTTTCTTAACGGGGGGGGGGATGTGTTAGGGGGGGTCCCCCCCACCCCTTTTTTTTTTAAGGACCCTTTTTTTCCCCCCCAAAAAGGTTCCCCCGAACAAGGAAACCCCCCCCCCCCTTGGGTTTTGGGAAAACAAAAAGGGGGGGTTCCCCCCCCCCCCCCCCCCCCCCCCCCCCTTGTGCTACCAGGTGTGCCTGAGCCAGGACGAGGACGTGCTGGACACGTGGTTCAGCTCGGGGCTCTTCCCATTCTCGGTGTTCGGGTGGCCGGACGTGGACAGCGAGGACCTCAAGGCCTTCTTCCCCACCACGCTGCTGGAGACGGGCATGGACATCCTCTTCTTTTGGGTGGCCAGGATGGTGAGCTCAATGAACCAACGTCGGCAGAGAGAAGAAGAGGCATCTTGCGAGTATCTGTACCCGGAGGAAGCATGTCAGGGGGACTTTCCAAAATGCGTAAATATTTCGGGTGTATGTGGCGCCAAACCAAGAAATAGTGTGAGGATGGCCTTGACCTTGAAAACGGCGTCTACGAGGGTGCCCACCCGGAGGGGAGAAGATCTGGGAGAGTTCCGAAATACGAAAAATGGCGGGGTGCAGGGGGCCAACACAAGAGAACCAGCGGGAAGTGTGGGGCCGACACAAGGAAAATAGCGTGTCGTGGGGGTGGCCTCGGCCTTGAAAACCGGGTCTGCGAGTAAGTCTACCCGCAGGGAGCAAGCCTTGTGGAGTTCCAAACACGAACCATAGCGGTGTGTGTGGTGCCAAGACAACGAAAAATAGCGGGGTGCGGGGATGGCCTTGACCTTGAAAACGGGGTCGCATGTCCCCAACGTCCGTCGAGGACGAACCCCCTCTTGTCTTTTAAGGGGTAGTCCAACATGTAAACTTGTCGGAGGTTTTTTGTTGGTCGGCGGGGATGCCGACATGGCGGCAGGAGACAACTGCAATAGCCGAGTCGAGTCTAGTCGTTTTGATTGGGTTTTTGTGCTCGAGTTCGGGAGTGGCAGGCGGGGACTTAGTTTCAAGGAAGGGCCGCAACTGTTTCAAGCGGGGGTGGGGGGCTGAACAGCAGTGTATTTTGTTCTTTGAGGATCGATGGAAGCCCTGTTCTGCGGAGGGTTGTTTTCCCTTCACCGCATCCGCGAGGATCAGACGGCGTGTAGACGAAAGGCCGTGCGCGCACGGTTTCGCCGACGCCCGTATCGGTGTGTTCCCTTTGGTCTCGTGTCCGGGTTGGTCACTTTTCTTTCCTGGACGGCAGCAGAGAGTAAGCTTTTACTTGACATGAACGTTTGCGGCACTTTTGGTGAGTGTATGAACAGCTGTGGAACTTTCAACCGATGTATCCCACGGTTCGAGGCGGTCTTCGTGTAGCCAGCCACCACCCGTGCGATCAAAAGACGGAAATCACGGCGGAACATGGCGAGACCGTACACACCGAGAAGAGGGATATGTACCCCTCGGGGGTACGCACGTGGTAGTGCAGATGGTTCCCCGTAACCCCCAGAGGATGAGATGGGGGTACGTACGTGATAGTGCGGGCGTTCCCGCGTAGCCCCCAGAGGATGATGTTGCTCGTCCTCCCTCCTGTGCACAACGGTCAACCAACGAGCAGGTGATGATGAGCCTGGAGCTGACCGACGTCCTGCCGTTCAAGACGGTCTATCTCCACGCCATGGTCCGGGACAAGTTCGGCCGCAAGATGAGCAAGACCCTCGGAAACGTCATCGACCCGCTAGAGGTATAAAGGACTACGTTGTAAAGTGTCTGACGGCTATGATGACAATCTAGTTGGCAGAGGAGGTCCGCAGGCTGTTGTTGTTGTTATTGTTGTTGTTGTTGTTGTTGTTGTTGTTGTTGTTGTTGTTGTTGTTGTTGTTGTTGTTGTTGTTGTTGTTGTTGTTGTTGTTGTTGTTGTTGTTGTTGTTGTTGTTGTTGTTGTTGTTGTCATGTTGTTGTTGCTGTTCTTATTCCTGGTGGTGTTGGTGTTCTCGAGGAAGGCAGCTAGGTTCTCGTGGCGGTCAGCCTATCTATGGGAGTCCGCGTCCTCCAGACCTTTCAGGGGCATGTTCAGGTCGCGGTGGCGGCATGTATGCTTCACTGTTTTCCGTGCCGTTGTCCTGAGCGCAGGTACTATTGCACTCTCTTTCGGTCTTTGTTTCGTTATTTTTTTTCTTCTTGAAATGAAGAAACACGGCGGTGGGGCTTGTGCCACTGTTACAACGGCACATCCGCTGCGATTAACAAGATCATCTTTACGCTAGGGCGGTGAATTGTTTCGACCAATCCGGTGCTGCCTTTTGATATGCCACTCCTGTTTCGTTGTATTCTTGTCCAAGATTTTGCGTGGTCTCACTTGTTTTTCTTCTTTTGTACGTCTCTCTTCCCCGTATTTTTTTTGTCTACTTCTCCGAAAGGTGATCTACGGTTGCGATCTCGACACTCTGCACAAGAAGCTCGAGGTTGGGAACCTCCCCGCCAAGGAGATGCAAAAGGTATGTCTAACGAGAGAAAGACGGGGGGGGAGCAGATGCTTTCTCTCGGTCATGTTTGGCGGCCACTGTGTCTTATTTTAGGAAACATAAAATAATAACGCAGAAAGACTACCCGTTCACAGTCGAAGGGGATATTTTGAGAGTCTGTGCAGTGAGTGGAGGGAAACCGGCTGGGTGCTGGGATTTATTCGAGTCTGTTTTAAGCCTATACGCTGACGATTACATCAGTGATACCAGCTGGCGCTAAGCACGAAAACGTCTGCATGGGTTAACATAGTTCATTTTACAGTACATCCCCTGTAGTTCTCTACTGGGTCGACGACAACAACGTCGCGGAGAAGCCCGCCATTGTTGTGTCGTTTGTCATCAAATGTAACCTTCACACTGAACACGGCGCGGTGTCTTTTGACAACTTGCTGGTTTAGACTATTTGCTGTTGTGGATACGAAGTTATTTTAAGAACACGGTAAAAAACCTCCAGTTTAGTTTTGAATGCGTCTTTTGTTGAAAACCATGCCACAGCTTCAGAGAACCGGTTCTTTGAGCCTGGAGCAGTATGGTACAACGCAGCCTTCTCTCTCCCCTGTAGGCCGCTCGGTGGATGATGTCCGGTCTCTTTTTTTGTCCGGCCGCTTCGCGTGATACCCACCCCGATTCCTTGACCGTTGATGGTGCGGAATATTGTTTGGCACTTGAGCCTTACGACAGCCTGTTTGCCTTGCTGGGAAGCCGTTTTTTTTTTTTTCCCGCCCGTCTCACTTCAACCGAGACGATGCTGGCGTCTGGGCGAAGGTTGGTTGTTCAATGGCATCATTTTGAGTGCGTGCACTTGCTTGCTTGCTTGCCTTGGGGTGCTTGTCTCCGCGTTTTGATCACGATCGTTGGAACCGTCCGTCACGAGCAGGCGAAGGAGGGCCAGAAGATGGACTTCCCCAAGGGCATCCCGGAGTGCGGGGCCGACGCTCTCCGCTTCGGCCTCCTCGCCTACACGGTCCAGGTGTTTATGCCGCTGTGGGCTGTCACATGGTGTTTTTTAGACAAAATACGTACATACTCTCACAGAAAGACTACCCGTTGGAGATGTAACCACAGCAGAAGTCGAAGGAGATAGGTTGAAGTCTTTTCAGTAAATGGGGGGGGCAAAACCCTGCCGGATACTGGGCTTATTTTTTAGGTCGATTTTTAACCTGTACGCTTTGAAGTTTCGAGCAGTGATGCCAGCTGGTATTTCGTCGCCGTCCCCGTCAGCGTTGGTGCTGGTGCTGAAATCGTGTTTTGTTGCGAAGACGGCGACGATGGGGTTGTCCCGATCAAGCGCTACACCCTTGATTGTTTCCCACATCCCCTCGTACACCCACGTTGCCGAGGGCCTACTGCTTACTTTTGTTGTGCGATGTAGTCATGTACCTACACCGTTTTTTTAAAGACTACGGATTTGTAGTTTTTCGTTGTTGTTTGTTGCGGTTCGCTGGGTTATTGGAGTAAAAAATCCGTCAACTATGTGTGAGCTGCTGAGCCTGGGAAACGTCGCAAATGGCAACCTGGCAGCCAGCGTGTGGGCTGGTCCTGCGTCCGTGCCTGCTTGCGTTTTCATCCTGCATCACCCCTTGATGACACTGGTGTGCTCTCATGAGCCCACTCGGGAAGGATCGCTTGTATCTACGATATGTAGAGTATTCAAGACTACAATTCAGATTTTTTTTTTTTTTCTTTTTTGGTTCATTGATGTTCGCTGGGCTCTTCGAGTCGAAAACACGCCAGCTGCTGAGCTGCTTGAACTTGGAAAAGGTTACTGATGGCAGCTGGTAGCTTGTTCACACCCAACACGTGCTTTACTTTCATCTTTCATCACGCCTTGATGACTACGCTCTGATGAACCAACCCACTGCGGAGACGCGCCTTGCATTGACTTTATTTTATTTTATTTTTTTACTTGGAATGTTTTCGTCCGCCTACGAAGGGCCGAGACGTGAACCTGGACATCTCCCGCGTTGTCGGCTACCGCAACTTCTGCAACAAGCTCTGGAACGCCGTCCGCTTCGCCTTGACGTACCTCACGGACGCCAGCCCGCCGCTAGACCTGGCGTCTGAGCTCATCGCGGTGAGACAAGAAACGCACCGACCGCTTTCGCGAGAAATTAACTTTATAGTTTATGAGGAAATAGCACAGGAACGGGGGGTACGCAGACCGTATTCCTAACCCAAACCCTAACCCAACTTCTCCGATTGCATGCTATATTGAACATGTTTGCTTAAACCCTGCGAATTGCATGCTTTATCCTACATGTTTGCTTGAAAACGAAAAACCCTGCGAAGGGTACTGGATAAAAACACCGACGAGCCACGAGAAAGGAAGGTTGTTCTGATTGCCCTCCCCCCGGAACATACAGCAGTACCCTGTTTTTTATTTTTGCTTTCGGCGTTGGCCATTGTATGCAACACCTGCGGCTGTAAACGTGTCAGTTCTCGAGACAGCAGTGGCGTGGGGGCGGATGAGAAAAGTGTGCGCGTATGCATGCATACGACAGGGGAGTTGGCATCTGGTCGTTCGTTGCTTTTTCTCATTTCTTGTAGGTAATGTAATTTATGCCGCAAGACAACGAGGGAGACGGCCCGTATGAGTCCCTCTACCCCGTCACCGACTAATTTCGCGCTCGCGCTTGTGAGTTTTTTAGATTTTGCTTCAATCTCAACAGGACCTTCGTATGGTGTATCGACGACCCGTGTGAGTCCCTCTCTCCCTCAAATGACTATTTTCACGCTCGCGCGCGTGTGATTCTTTTAGATTTAGCTTTCAACCTCAAGAGGACCTTCGTCATGGTGTATCGACCCCCATCTAAGGTTTTTTCTTTCTCCGTGCTTGTTTGTGCCATCGCCACGGCTGCTGCGGGAGCGATCGTCCGATGCGTTGCGAGTGGCCGTTTAACCCTCTGGCGCTGGCCAAGTGACTTGACGACATCCACATGCCCGTGTGTGTGTTCGTCGGCGTGCCTGGCTGCCCCCCGTCCGTTCTGGCCGTCCCGCTCCGTCCTGTGTCTTTGTAGTCGTTGGATTCGGCGGCGCCGAGGGACCGTTGGATCTTGTCGAGGCTTAACGTGGCCGTCGCAGAGTGCAACCGATGTCTGGAGGAATACAAGTGAGTTGGCGAGCGCGATGGAGAACATGAGGCACCCGGTGCTGTGCTGTGTTGTGTTGTGCTGTGCTGCGCTGTGCTGCGCTGCGCTGCGCTGTGCTGTGCTTTGCTGTGGTGTGCTGTGCTGCGCTGCGCTGTGCTCTGCTGAGCGTTTGTTGCCTGTGTCGGGTGTGGGGTGGAGATGTTTCGAGATTTTCGGTCCTCGTTGCGGATTCTTTCGTGTGTGTATTTTCGGACGTGATTCGTTTTCTGAATCGCTGGCGCTACATTGCTGTCAATGTTTTCGAGAATGGGTGAGGAAAATCGGCCGTGTCGGTCTGCATATTTCGCTTTAGATACGAAGCGGATGGAGAACGGACGCTACGAGAAATTTATTCGTTGTTTTCCCGTACTGGGTGTCTGCATGAGGGTGAGTTCGAGCGCATATGCATATCCCGCCGCTGCTCGGCGTTGCGACTCATGGGGTGGTTTCGCCCAACCGGCTTTGCCGTGAAGAGTAGATGGTGCCGAAGCATCTGATTGTTTTCAGTTTCTTTCCCCCAGCACAACGTGTGATACGCCGACAGGTCTGCGTTCTGCGTGTTCTTGCTCACTACGGGTCCCCGAATTCGTTGTTGTTGATGTTGAGTTGAAACGGGTTTTCAGCTGACGAGGCGGTGAAATTTTTGGTCCGGTTGGTGTGTAACAGCCAACGCCGTTTCTGTTTCAACATGCACTGACGACGCGAGTCTTGTCCCGCTCATTTGCGTGTCTCTTGTTTTTGCGGCAACGTGTCTTTTCCTATCTACATCATCATCCGTTGGCGAACGAGGTTGTTGTCATCTTGGTGGTGGTGGTCGTCGTCGTTTTCACTTTGTCTCTTGTACAAACAAACTCCCATCGATGTCTCTAGGTTTGGCGACGCTACCCAGGTGGCGTACTCGTTCTGGCTGTACGACCTTTGCGACTACTACCTCGAGCTCATCAAGCCCGTCGTCGGCGACACGAGCGAAGGAAACAAGAAGGTGAAGAGAGACAGAGACAGAGACAGAGACAGACGCGAGAGGACACAATCTAGTCGGTCGCCTCTTGTTGAACGCCTGCTGTCTTAGGTCTGCTCTTGTAGAAGCCCTCTTGTCCTTCGACTAGACGAAAAACCGCGGGTCCGTGGGTGTGCTCGGCACAGAGAAAGCGACATATGTTATTTTCATGGTTTGGTTGAGTTTTTGTCGATGATTTGTGTCGTCAAACCTTTTGGTTGTTGTCCTCCAAAGTTTAATGGGGATATCCCGTCGGGTTTTCGCGGTATTCTTTTCCTGGGACTTCCCTTGGCTTCCTCGATGTTGATTGGCAGCGATTTCAGTGGCGAGTACAAGGCCGTACTCAGCATACGCACCCACGCCCTTGGCTTCCGGTATTGTAGGGAAGGAGGGCTGAAACCGCCCAAAAGTCCGCGCCGGTGGACATCGATGACGTCACGATAACGTGGTTTTCAGCTTTGGATAAGCGTGGCTACTCGGGCCGCCTACTCGACCAGCGTTCAGACCTACGCCTGCGCGCGTGTGCGCTGTCAGCATGGGTTTGATCGCGCAGTTGATCACATGTCGCCCCCACCTTTGTGAACCTCCCTTCCCTCCGTTGCTCCCTGTCTTCCCCCCTGGCCGCGCCCGAATGTACGATCGGTTTCAAACTTGCCGGCATGTTTGTCGGGGTTGCGCTGCACCCGCCTCCAGGCACGCTCCATCGCGCAGTCGTGCCTGTACCTCTGCTTGGACTACGGCCTCAAGCTGATCCACCCTATCATGCCCTTCGTGACGGAGGAGCTGTGGCAGCGGCTCCCCGGGAGGGGAAGCATGGGTGAGAACGACATCATGGGTTGCAGGGTGTAGGATGAGGATTTTATTTCAGTGAACCCGTCTTGCGTTCGTACACTGCTCTCTCCCTGCTGTTGCCGGGCCTCGTAAATGACCGCTTCTGACCGCTTCGATCAGTCATGTCGCCAGTATGCTGGCCATGGCGTATGTCGTGTGTGCTGTGCAGCTGTTATCAAACACCTGGCCATGGGTGGGAAACCTTATCGCCAGCTGCTGCTGTTACTGCTGCTGCTGTACTGCTACTGCTGCTACTGCTGCTGCTGGGCGGTTGATTAAGTTTTGTTTTTCTTGTGGTTGTGTTCCGTGCAGTCACCCATGCCTTTCGCTCTCCCTCCTGGTCGTCCCTCTACCTGTCCCGGCTCACCCGCCCAACCTAAATCCTGTAGGACCTGACCTTTTCAAGTATGTAACCATCCTGCACACTTCAACCCATAACGCGTGTCGCCGCCACCGCTCTCGGTCCTGTCAGGCCCAGAAGAGGCCCCGTCGATCATGGTGGCGCCCTACCCCCAAGCGGACGAGCGCTTCGCCAACCCCGCGGCCGAGACGGACATGTCGGCGGTCAAGGCGGCCATCCACGCCGGCCGGTCGCTGCGGTCGTCCTACGGGATAGTGCCCTCGGTGCGTGCGTTTGTAGTCTCTCTATTCTCTTGCTGGCGAGTCGCTCGCGTGTTTTCGCGAGAAGCGGCGTGTTGTGCACGAGGCCTTGGATGCAAGCCGTGTGCAGCGGTAGCCGTAGCACGAGCGAGAACAGAGATAGGTTCGGAAAACCCGTGACAAGTTTTTTGGGACCAGTGGGATTTGCTGGTACTGTATCGCTGTTTTTGTGAGTTGCTCGGTGTGTGTGTGTGTGTTTTGTCTTTGCCACGTTGTGGTAAAAGCCGTCTTCGTTGATCGATCTGCATCTCGAGTCGACCAGACGCGAAGATCTGCCTGCATACCACATGGTGCGTCGTGGGTGTTTTTTTGCAGCTTTCGTCGTTGCGGTGGGCGCTTCTTTTCCCTCCTCGTGCCTGCGTCTGTTCGTGCGTGTGCGTTTCCTTTGTTCTCGTCCAACGGGGGGACTGTTTTTTTGTTTTTTCGTGTCGTGTGTGTGTCGTGAGCCCGCCTCACGTTTGCCAACCCACGCATTTGTGTTTTTCCATGTCTCCTGTGTTTCTTGAGCTCGCCTCACATGTACGAACCCACCTCTTTTTTTTTTTGATGTTGCTCTGTGTCGGGGTGCGTCGTGATCCGCCAGGCGAAGGCGGAGTTCTACGTCAAGTCCTCGTCGGAGGAGCGGCATAACGTCATCACCAAGCAGGTTCGTCGACTCACGATAGAGTGGCACTATCATTGACTTACTGGGGGTAGGACTTAGACGGTTTATTTTTGACAGCAGCAGCGGCAGCGGCGGCGGCAGAAGCGGCCGCAGCAACGCCAATGTTGTAGGAGTAGCAACAGCAGCAGCAACAGCAGCAGCTCATGAGATCCCAAACATCTGTCTGGCTCACTTTTCAATGAGGGCCCGCTAAAGGGGAAAGACCCAAAACCCACGCCGCTTCCCGCTTCCTACCGATTCCACCTTTTGCTTTTTCTTCAAGCTCGTGCGTGCGTGTACAATCTAAGCCTGCCCCCTTCGATTTGCCGTTTTTTTCTTCTGCTGCATTTTCGTTTGAGCGGGTTCGTTGTCTTGACTCCCCCCCCCCCCCGTCCGCTCGCCTTGTTCTGATGGGGTCCAGCCGCGGGGTGAATTATCGTCTTTGCCCATACATCTGCCCCCCCCTCCTTGCCACTGCCTCTTGTTTTTTTGTTTTCCTCGTGATGTTTGGCCTCTTGCTGTTGTTGTTGCTGTTGTCATGTTTCAGGCGAGCGATTTCATCACCTTGGCCAAGGCGTCGACAGCGGTCCCGATCATGAACGAGGAGCCCCCCGAGGGCTGCGCCGTGCACATCATCGACGACCAGTCGCAGGTAGGAGGCGCGGAGAAGCTTTGTGTGAAGGAATTGCATCTCGCGGAGGGCGGGGCGTGAAAGCTATTGCTCTTGTCTCCGGATTTGTCGGTTTTCGCGCCTGACCGCAGTATATGTACCTCATGTGCGTATTTACGCATTCTCAGAACTTGGAGGAGATTGTTGTACCTGTTGAGTAGTTTTCGTGCATTTCATGGATGAAAGGGGTGCGGGAGACCTATCTGGCAATACTACTGTAGTTCAGCACTGTAGTAAATGTCTGCCCCCGCCGCGGGCGCTTTGCCGTCGTGTCAGGTGTACGTGCAGCTGCGAGGGATGGTCGACTTCGATGTGGAGATCAAGAAGCTCCAGAAGCAGGTAACCACGTACCGATCGCATCATCTTTGTTGTTGTAGCCAACAGGCCGTCAAGATGCCGCCGCCATCAGACAAGCGCAACCCTCATCCTACATGACCCCGAAGTCTCGCTTTTTTCTTTTTGTCTCCCGTCGCCTCTTGGTTGTGGTGCATTGATGTTCATTATTTTTTTCTCTCTTGGTCTTTTTTATCCAACCCTCTCTCGTATTCGCTTTTTTTTTTATTCCTTGCCGTTCTTTCTTCTTCCCGTCTCGTCTGTTTTCTTTTGGCAGCTGGACACCAAGATCGAGCCTCAGATCACCATGCTCGTGAAGAAGGTCAGTGCTCTTGCCCCTGAAGTCAATCTATTCGAAAACTTTTGGAGATTAGAGGGGACGCTCTGCGTTAGAACTTGGTGTAGCATTCCGGAATCCAAAATCACACCACCACGTACGCGGCAGAACAGCAGCAGCGGCAGCAGCAGCAACGGTTCCGTTGTTTCCAGTGTTTACGCCGTATGGGCCATTTGCTTCTGCTAGGGGTGATGCCGTGTTGGAGTGAGTTATTACGACATGCTGGCAGCCAGCCAGGCATATAATCACGCCAGGAATACACGAAATTTTGGTTGGGTTTGTGGTGCCCCTCTCTGCTTGCTCCCTCCGGTGAGTGCGTTCATGTATGTCGATTTGTCGCATTTGTTCCCGTCGAGCGTGGATTGACTGCTTGGGAGATTGATTCCGTCCCTAGGTGCACGAGACGGCAATGTCATGCCACAAGCACCTGGTCGAAAGGGACATGTTCGTCTTGTCGTGTCCCTCTTTTCTTCTCCCACATACATGGTGTGTATTGTCCACAGGATGCCAACGAAATGGACACGCGCACAGTTGACTATTTTCGGTTTTTTCCCGGCGTTATGCGAGTAAATCTTTTGCCGAACCAGACCCTAGATCTCACGGTGCGATGCGTCCCACACCATTTCTCGTATCGGTTTCATGATGACATTGCTACACTCCGGCTGACGCCTTGCGCCTTGCACTCATGTGTTGCTCCGGTGGTACACCCATCAAAACCAGTCAGGTCGATAGGCAAGGTGAACCCTCGCTCCCCTTTACGAGGACGAAATCTCCCCGCATCGACCACCCAACATGTTGCCGCTTGTTTCGAGTGAGTTGTTTCTGCTTGCAATCCCACCGCAAGTGTACATAGCTGCGGGCGAAAGGCTTAAATTTTCGCTCTTCTCGTGATTGGACGCGTGCTGTTTGGCCAAACGACTGGACCGTTTCAGATGGAAGCCCCCGGGTACGTGAACAAGGTCCCGGAGGCCGTCCGAGAGACCAACTCCAAGAAGAAGGCCGAGTTCGAGGCGCAGAAGGACAGCGTCCTCAAGGCCATGCAGCAGTTCGAGGGGCTCAAGATCTAGCTTGTCGACTTGGTCGTTCGTCTACTTGTTTTGTTTGTGGATGTTTCAGTAGTAGCAGCAGCAGCAGCAGCAGCAGCAGGAGTAGCACGGTCTGCTCGGTTTGGTAGCAAGGCGGGGGCTACTCTGAGGTCGTGTTACAACCCGGGGACCGGGGACCGCGTGGTGCAATGGTCGTCGTGGTTTGGCGTTGCCATGAAGGCGGAGAGCTCTAGAAGCCGAGCCGCCGCATGAGGCCTCGTTGCAGCATGCTGAACTTTGCCTTACTTCGCCTGCTTTGGGCCATACAGGAGCCCCCGGTCCTCTTGGTGCGGCAACAGCGCGAATCTGGTCGTTTTAAGCGCCCGATTGCGTTGCATGGAGGGTCAGTGTGATGCTGTGGCAGCAGCCAGGAGGATAAGCGCTTGTGTTTCTTGTCAGTTAGCGAATCAACGAAGTACACATTAGATGGAGATATCAAACGGCGGAATGTTGCGACTTTGTCTCTTTCTTCGCATCGCGTCGCTTGTGATGCCTCTCGTACCCCCGGCGTCGGGGTGATAGAAGCAGCCGTGGTTGTGGTTCTCTCTCTTAGGCATCTCACGCGCGGGGATTGCTCGTCAGAGACTGGAAATCCTCGCCCACGCCTTTGCGTGGGAGAAGCTTGTCGGAGGGCCGAGAGCAACCGCTGTAGTGTTGACTGCGTCTCCCCTCTTGCATCGTGTGGCTGAACCAGAATACGTGCAAAAGGAACACTGCTGTATTGTGCGTGAAGTGTGGAGGGCTGCTTGGACTGGCCGCAGCTTCGTATCATGTTCGGGGGACGAAAGTCATCGCAACGTGTGTACGCCACGTTTCTCGCTCTGTTCGTCCACCAGGCAGAGGACTACAGCCTATGTGGAGCTTGATGAAAAAATGCATGCGCTCCTAGCTGGGCAACACTTACCACGTGGTAGGACAGGTCACCACCTGTGGCATCCTCTATTCGAAGGCTTCTGGTTTCTCCTCCATTTGATCTAGACCCTACATAGATAGGTCGTCATTGATAACGTGACCGGTGCATGTGGGCGAAAGGGTACAAGTTGATCCTCGAGGGTAAGGCTCACAGCGAGTCGATCGAGCAGCCTGTAGTTGTCCGGGCGTATATCGTTCCCTGTCGCATGTGTCACGGCTGCAGCCCGGCAGACTGAGCTCGGTGAACCCACCGACGATGAAGAGCGAAGCCGGTGGGCGTGATGAACAGAAGATCTCTTCCCTCCCCCCCGTGGACAGCAAATCTCTGCCCATCTTGGAACAGGAGTGAATCTGGACATAACAATCCGCTCAGGTCTCTGCCCAGTGCGTCTTGGTACTGGTTCCACTGACGACGTGGACGCTTCCGTGGTCACGGGACAGCTACGCCAAAAGGTATACGCTTCAAAAAATAGTCTAATTTTGGAAAAAAGGCTATTGTTGTCTTTGTCTTCACATCAAAAACCGTCCCGGTCTCCGCTCAATGGCCCAGAAAATCATCCCAATCGCGACAAAGTGTAGTACGAGCCAACAATTTATCGAAAACCTGGGAATTGCGACTAGTCAAAACCCAGACTACACTTCTTTTTATCTATGTTAGCACATCATGTGCCTTCAAATATTTTTCATTCGGGCTCCCAGAAGTTGTACTACATCTTAGATCGCCCATCAGGTGCTCAGGTTAGACCCTACACTAAAACCAATAGTCTAGGGTCGATGTGTTCCATGATAGTACGACGGCTGTGTGTCCTTGTATACCAAGAACAAGAAAACACAAAAAAACTAACCAAATAGACAATAATAATAAGAGGCCCCAACTCAGACTACACAACTTCAGACGTCGCTGGCGCGACTTGTGTCGGGAAATATGACAAACAAATAATGTTACGTGGAAAACAGCAAAGATAGAGCCCATCGCTCCCGTTCGACACGCGATGCCCAACCTCAGCAGCAGTAACCCCGCGTGAGATGGAAAAGTACACGTAAAATGACACCCCCTTTGCTGTACACCCTGCCCCCCCTCGGCTCTCCTCCTCCCTGCGCCGTCTTAATCAAACGCGAACAGACCCTTCGGTTCGAAAAAGGACCCGCACAGGGTTCGAAACTCAGTGATGAACCAAAGACCACCTTGTATCATAAATGCTGGTAGAACGTACGCGAATCAATCTCCTAAAGCGGAAAACAAGAGGGCCGTCACTGGAGAAGCGATGTTTCATCTTCTCACAATCATCGGCCTACAATGCACCTTCCCCACCAAAACTCCACCCGGCGCAATTCAAACGTTCACCGAGTAGCACCCACTGAATCGACCACGCCATCCCGACCGCTTTTGCTTCTACATATGCATTCACCATTAAACGCCACCAACGGCAATCATGAACAGCCCCGACGACGTTTCGAGGTAAAGACTACGGGCAACGACGATAGCACAAATTTGTAACTGAAACGCCCTCGCGCCAGACGCCAGCAGCGACCCACTCACTCGTCGTTCACGGAGGGGGTGGGTGTCAGTGGTTATCGGACGGGCCTCAAAGCGTCCCGCTGACCGGGTGCGCCGAGTTGGAGTCTGGTGACATGCTTGGAGTGGCGACTGCCCCACTTGCTTGTGCAGATTCCGCTTGCGTCGATTGATCCTACACCGCAGACGGCCGAGGGCGTTGGGTTGGGTGACCCTACGCCGCCAGCCCATTTCTGAGGGTGGGCCGCCGTCTCGCGTGAATTCGTTGCAATATACCACCAATGCCACCGCAGACATTGCTGAAGCTCCGTCCTTTTTAAGTACGACGCGTCAACGGCAACGAACGGCGACGACGGCAGCGGCAGGAGCTCAACAGCCAGCCACGATTTGAGCCACTGGAGCTACGGCACGTACATTCTCAAGACTTCGGGCCAGGCGCAGCGGCGCCACCGGATGCAGACGGCCCTGTTGGGGGTGGCCGCTTGACAATCGTCGCCGCGTAAGGGTTCTTGGGGTATCCCGCTCGCTCGTCCATCAGACCTGTCGCCTCCGCCGCCGACCCCCGCCTCCCGAGCCCGGTGATCATGAGCGAGAACTCTCTGCCGAGGGTGGAGATCTCGTCGTCTCCGCGGCAGAGGAGGTAGTCCAGGCACGCGGTGCGGTTCACGGTGAAACGTCCCGGCGTGCTAACGTCGATGCCGCGGCCGTCGGCCGAGTCTCTGTCACATATTCGTGTGATCGGTAAAAAAACAAATCGTGATGAGGAAAGGGAGAGACAAGAAGAGCTCGGCGGGCTGGACGAAGAACGAATCAGCGCGCACTCGCCTTGGTTCGAGCGAAAATAAGGCATCAAGTGGGCCATCGAACAGCAAAACGAGTCGTTGGCTTTTCAAAGGTTGTACCACTTTTCGCTTGACATGCACACACTCGTATCGTTTATCGCACGTACAACTCGCAGAAGTCAACCTAACAAGCTAACGTACGTGCTTCGAGTACTATGACAGCATGAACAGCCTATGACAGCATGAACAGCCTAGGTCTGATGTTGTTCGAACAGGTTCGACTGCCACCTATTGCTATCGCTTCCGGTAGGACATTCTGGGTCACCACAACGTTGTGGGCACCCATGTAGCTCTGGCATTTTCTCACCTGGCCGAGTCCCTCCTGGCGCCCCACGTGGCCATTACACTGCCGAAGACGTCGGTCTTCGCCCCGTCCGCGGCGATGCTGCGTGCGGCTGATGTCATCTTGACGATGGGGCGCGTGATGGAGCCGGCCAGGAAGTAGACAGAGAGAGCCACGGCGACCAGGGTGAAGCAGGCGACGATGGCCGTCGTGACGATGATCTGGACGAAACGTAGAGAGAGAGAGGGAGAGCGGGGGGAGAGAAGGAGAGCGGGAGGAGGGAGGAAGACACAGAGGACAGACAGACAGACATGCAGACACGAACGAACGAACTATTTACTTCAATAGTTATTACGCTCATGTTCGAATTTCTACGACCTTGGGTTGGGCACAATAGAAGCCCCATTGTTTGGACTTGGGGGGTGCGTTCGTTGCAAACGATGCCATCCACAAACACATTGTTCTAAACAACGACGGCCATATCGTTGCGTTTGAACGAAGAACAATTAGTCACGCACACCACCAAACCACCGAACTATAGGCGTTCTTTCTATTTTGTGATGGATGTACCTGAACCGTGCTGTCCCTTATCGAGTCCGCCATTCCAACCACCGGCTCGAAGATTTCGTTCCGAGGAACGGCGCTCAGGATGTAGTGGGTTACCGTGCCAGCACCGCCGGAAGTGGCCGTGGCGAAGTTCCCCTCCACGGGGGCGGCGACCAGGATCCACTCCTCTGCTTGTCCCGAGAGCAGAAAAATCCGTAAAACATATATCAAGAAGGCGATTGCGACGAGTACCATCCGAGAGTGGCGAAAACGAGAGCAGGCCGGCAAATACTTTGGCCTGGACTCAACCACGGCATTCAGGCAAACGTCGGCTGCTGCATAGATTGAGCCGAAAGGAAAAAGTCGAGGAGGTGAGCCGAGGGATAGGTTCAGCAGCAAAAAAGGCCGAGAGAAATCAAACGATATGAAGCACGATCGTCGGTACATAGACGAGTCGGCTCCCACCGTCCCCGCCCACACGCACCACGGCTCGTTTTCTCACCGTCAACGCCGGCGGTAGACGTCGAAGTGAAGCTTTTGATCCCGCCGTTCTCGATTTCCGCCAGCAGGTCCACCCATTCGTCGCCGTCGCTGCCGGAGCAGATGCCGTTACCAATGGCGCAGACCTTGCTTCCGGAAGGCAACAGGTTATGACGAAATGCTTACAGGAGTGATGAATAAGGGATTGTGTTGTGCGGCGAACGGCGGGCGTGATACGCATTTATTTGTGCTTGTCCCCAAGGCCGCGACCTTTCTCCTGGTTTCACTTACGAGAACAACTATTTACGACCGTCACCACGGCATTGGTTACCAGAGGGTAACGTTGGGCACCGTCCGTTCACAACCTGTGAAGGATGGGGTGGGGAGGTTGCGATATTGGGATCGATCTTTGAACATGTTTTTGCTTGTCTATGCTGCCAGCCCGCCGTGTCGGTTGGGTTGACGCCAATGTCCCAGATGCGGGATCAGCTGCACGCTTCAGCGAGCAACTTCCGCACCCCAGGTTATAGTCGGTGGCCCAACCTGCCCACAACCCGACCTCTGGCACCACACCACAACACCACGCGATCACAGCCACGCTTGATGCATTATACCTATCAGACTTGATGCATTATACCTATCAGATAGTCCAAAACGGACAAGCACACAGGCCACGGTTGCGCACCGTTGGGGCTTCCTCCGTAGCGTCCTTGTCCCACACGCCGGCGGCCAGCACGATTCCATCCGCTGTTGCCAGGATAGAATAGCCGGTATTGAGGAAGTTGATGCCCTCCACTGACTCCTGCACTTGCTCCAGCCGCACATCCATGCCGACCACCCCCAGGAGGTTGCCACGAGTCGAACCCGAGTCGCTGTAAGCGCAGTGTCCAGGCGTGCGGAATCGGAAGGGTTGCGCGAGCACGGAGAAAAAACGCTCGGACACAAACTTGAAAAAAATTGTGGACGTCCGCCTTGAAACCTTGCTCATTGGACGATGCTGCCCATAGTGCCTTCCCTGAACAAGGTAAAACCAACGCCTACAAACATAAGATGAGGCTACCGGGGGGGGGGGGTGGTACCCTGAGTGTACACCGGCTTCTCAACGTTCTCGCAGTTAGCGGGTGCGGAGCAATCCAACGAGGAGCAATCAAGGCCGTCTTCTTCTTGTTCACCTATAGACGGCACGGGCCAGAGACAGCAACCATTCGTCGTCGATTGCGTCCTTGTAGGGATCGCTGATGATGGCCGCTCCGAGAGAAGTCCCCGAGTCGACAGCTGCATCCTCGGCTCCTTGGTACCTGCAGGAAGAAAAATGAGTTGTTGTTGTTGTTGGTGGTGGTGTTGCTGCTGATAATACGCCTTTTTTGCTACCTCCATCGCTCCCGCTGATGACGTTGCAGTTACCGCCGCTGCTGGTGTGGTGCTGTTGGAGCTTTTGGTAGAGGCTTGATGTAAAACTCCTCATAAGAGCTCAACCACTCCGCGTGTTCAAAGGAGAGGATGTACCGCCTTGCCTAAGAAACTGTCACGTGCCGCGGCAGGCCAGGAGCACCATTCGACAACATGCAACCCTAGTCACCACAGCTTCCCCACGGAAGAGGAATCACTCAAGCCCACGCGCCGGCGTGTGCTCTCAGCAAGTACTTATCAGAAAGAGAGGGCTTTTCGCTGTACACCTTTGCCGTGCATACTGCCACACGAAACACCTGAAGAGGGGACACGCCTTAGGCACTAGAGGACATATGCGGCGGAGGGAAGGGGCGAATACTGGGGACATTGGTTGTCGTTCTGAGTCCAGATAAGACCCTACTTCGCCGAGAGGCAACCCTTCACATGTCTCAATGTTGTGCAGAAATGCCTTACGCACGAGGTGGTCATATAACAATTATCGGCGTTCAAATTCCAGGGGGACTTTGCCGGTGACCGTAGGAAGGACCGATCGACTCTTTCCCCTCACACACGAAGGAAAGGGGACAGCAGCAAAAAAAAACAAAGCCGTCAGATTTCTTCTCAAACACCCGCGCCAGCAGCCAGGTTTGGCGTAATTGCCCTCGATCCCCTTTGCACCAGACTCTATACCGCGTACCAGGGGCGAACGGTCGGGTCGAAGCACGGAGCGATCGAACCGTCTTCCTCCACGTACTCGCACGCGAAGCGAGAGCCCTCCACCCCGCTGAGGTCCGTTCCCGGAAAATAGCGGATCGTCCGGCCCGTCGTCGAGAGCTCTACTCCAACGTAGACCCCCTTCGTGTCGTACGAGTTGATGTACACGGCCGGCCACAGCAGATCCAGCCGGGCGGTTTGGGTGATCGTGGCCATCTCGTCCTCCGGAACCTCGACTGTGTAGGACTCGGCATCAGCGTAGTACCTGTATGATACGGTTGATAGCGGATGGATACAGGCGGACGGCAGGGTGGACCACAATGGGTCAGCTCGTCGGTCTCCTCAACTTCACACGTTTTTGCACGGCCAGGACGAGGATGAGGATGAGGATGGGTAGGAGGAGGAGTAAGAGGAGGAAAAATGTCGAGACTTCGCCTACAGATAATTCATGACCTTGCCATTCCCAGCCCACACAAAAACATTATTAGCATCTGTCCCTGAGATGATGAGAAGGTAGCGTTGTATCCCGGCGGACGGAAATAATGATATGATACACAGAGCTTGTTGAAGGCCTACCCCATATCGCTGAGACGGGTAAGCCTTACTCTCCGGAGAAATCCAAACATACATGGGCCGCAATCATTTGGAGCACGCGTTGTTGCTGGGAGCTAGGCCTGTACTCCGTAGGCGATTTTTTTTCGCGATTTTGATACGCTAACTTTTCCTCCTATTTTCAGTATATTAACAAAAATCGACATCGAAATATCAGGCAATCGCCTACGGAGTACAGACCTACGGGAGCTGTTCCATACAGTCGTGGCAAAGGACGTCGTTGCTTGGACCCGAAAATAGACAACCCACCAGGTGCTGCGGGACAGGTCCACTTCGAAGCTCATTCGGGAGAAGTTCTGCAGGTTAGCTTCTGCGCTTGTTGCGATCTCAGTATCGCGAAGGTCGGTGTGGGCCGGGGTTAGCGGGTAACCCTCATTTCCGCCATCGAGGACTAGGTTCTGGGGTTGTTTCGTTCGCGCCGGAGAATGCCGTGAAACGAGGAACCGTTAGCGGGAGCAGAGGGTGTCGAACGGCGGCGTGTAGAAAAGAAGGCATTTTCTGCTCTACTTAGAGAAGCGGGCACGCTTACAACCTTGGTGTAGACTCTCAGATGTGCCTGCGGTCGACGACAAAAACTACGTGAACGCACGTGCTGTGTTTGTGCGATGGGCCTACCTCGAAGAAAATTCCACCCTTGTAACGCGAGGTTTTCACCCCCTTAACAACTGATGCTGGAGAGGCAGCGGTGTTTGGGCAGAGCCGCGTCATGTGCAGAGGAGATGTCCGACCCGTGTCTTCACATGTGGAACAGCGCCTTACTCGCACTCGTAGAAACTGACAAAAACACTTTCCACGGCTTTCGCCGCCCGGCTCAGCATGTTCCATATTAGATGACCGTGTGTGGGGTTCGTTTGGATCTGAATTTTCGAATTTTCTGAATCTGAGTTATCTGTCTACATTCACACCCCACCAGCGTCCGTTTCCTGTAAAACCGAGCTTGTCATGTTTGAAAGCAATAAAAACGTGAAATTTCCGTGAGTACTCCAAAAGGAAGAAAACATTGAGTGCTCGGATCGATTCCTACAGCAGATGCGCTTGGAGGCCTTGCTACACGGAGTACACAACGCTAGGAGGCACTTGTTTTTGTATTGGACGGAAGGCGGGCCCCAAACATCCTCTTCGATGATAAGATGCGTGGGCGTGTACTGCTGTAGGAGAGGGGAGCGGGTGAAGGCTGGTATCGCGGGCAGGAGGCTGATCTCGTCGTGTGATGAAGGGAGCACGCGAGAGAGATAGACATTTTGAAACTAGCATACACGTTTTATAGAGTAGGGACCAGGCGGAAGCAAAGGTATCTCCATGGCCCCAATGCACATCGTGTCGGAATGGATGAACGGACTACAGAGTTCCTCAAGATATATTCGAAACGGATGTTGGCCTCTATGCACCCGGCAGTACAGAGCGCGAAATAACACCGTGCTACGTGTGTTTATCGCCGTCAGCTCCCGAGTTAAATATCTACGGACACACTTCACTGTAACACGCGTGAACGCATTCTGTACAATCTCCGAAACACTGACCTCTTGACGTGCGTCCCTGAGGGCGAAGGCCGTGACGTCGAGCACCCCGTACTGGAGATTCCGGAACCATTCTCTGACGGCGGTGGCGGACTCCTCGCTGGCGTTCGTGAGGTGTCGCTTGATCTGGTTCTCCAGGCTGTCGCGGGCCTCGGACTTGGCCTTGTCGCCGATGAAGGCCGTCGTGCCCATGACCACCGCTAGGGCCAACAGCAGACTCACCTTCGATTTTGCATGATCATCGGGGTGTGTGTTTGAACTCGACCGCTTGAATCGACGTGGGTTCCCTTGTTGGAAGCAGTCTTATGTATCTGTATCCGCACGAAGACCTAGTCTACTCCTGCACGGTAGCCTCCTGTAGGAAATAAGTGCTGCTCAATGAGGTGGGGTTCAGACCACCACAAAGACAAGGAAGGAAGGGCCACTCCGTACAAAGAAGAAGAGTGTGCACGCGCGGCTAAGAACCTGGGAGTTGTGAATTCAGCATGACAAAAAGAAGCATGACATGGAGCATGTACGTACAATAGCAACCATGGTACAGACGGCGCCACCACGAAGAACTCCGGAGTTAAGATATCGAGCCTAAGAAAACCAAAATGTAAGAACTTGAGCACCCTTTGCGAGCTCACCCCTACACTAAAACCTATATAGCGACCGTTCTTTATCGCATTGCCCCAGGAACTAGCTAGTGAACCCAGCGTCGGCCGAAACCTAGGTGGACTATGTGGCGCGTTCGTGTGTAACTTGAACGAAAGAGAAGGCGCTCAGGAAAGATCATACGTTAAAACCTGTATGGTCTATATGTGGAGGTGTAGAAGTGTCAGCAGTGTTTACGGGCTGCTGCTGGCTCTTCTTCCCACTTCGGGTTTTTGACGCCCTCTGATTGGTCGAGCTTTTGGTTCGACCTCCCCCGGTGCCACTCTCAAATCCGAGATTATTGCCAAACCTTGACTACAGAAACTGCCAGCCCGGGGCACTGTAGTGGGACTACATGATCTGGGCCTCCATCTAACGAGCGAAGCCTGTGTCCTCATTGGCATCGACGAATTGCGAATATAGCGGAGAAGAGTCCTTGTGTTGTCATCGTGGTTTCCCCCGCGGAAAAGAAAAAAAGCGCCAATGAACTCTAGGCCCGTCCCTACACAAACAGGTTTGCCTCACATCAACCACGGCGGTGCGTGTGTGTGTGTCTTTGAGTTTGGGTTAGCTGTCAAACCCAGGACGCAAGCACGCAAGCAATAGCTGGAGCAAAGAGGAATACATATTCGTGCCTTTTCTTCCGACGGTGCTGCTCTCTTCACGTGCGTCATATGATCTCACCGCGGCCAGGGCGAGGAAGCTCAGCAGGAGCTGCGTCCGCAGCGGGTACTTCTTGTTGAGGCATGGCTTGCACAGGCTCACCGCACGGAATGGCATACCTCTCACTCTCGTTCGCACTCTCTTATAATGGCTACATACATGAAAGAAGCCCCCAACAGAGAGCACCAAGGCCTGTACGCCCAACAGAGTGGTTAGAGTGGCCTCGGAGACCGGAATTTTTTTCCGGCGTGCTTGTGAAGTTTCGTTGGAGGGGGGGCAGCAGGGGCAGATGGCAGAAATAATCACTGCAACGCGCCGAGAATGGTGGTATGCAGATGCAGACAGACGGTTCGCAGTACAATTATAATTGTTGCTCCGTCAAATGATGTCGGTGCTTCACACACTAAACTTCTCTCACAGGACTTCAGGACGACACCGTTTCACCGTTTCCTAAGATCACTTTCTCGTGGCTACAATCGAGGGTCTCGGAAGAAGCCATCCATGCCCCAGTTCTACCTTTTTTTGCGTGCGGACATCATGGATGTGCATCTGTGGGTGTATATTCAACAATGACGGGTTTCGTGGCCGTTTCATCGGGCGGAACAAAAGACGTTGAAGTTATGTGTATTTTTTCTAATCAAAAGACGTTTGTTTACCCCGTATTTTCGCCAATAATAAGAGATTGCCCAGTCCAGAGTGGTAAATCAGCAGTACAGCAGGAGTAGCAACCTAACTACGCCGTCACACAGTTAGCTTTACGGCAGTAGGTTTGTCGAGGCTGAAAAAAGCAGCTTCAAAGAGTAGTCGATGTAGTGTAGGTGACCCAAGCTGCTTGCTTCCGAATGACTTGTGTGTGTGTGTGTGTGTGTAAATACGCCCAACCGTTGTTGTGGTGTGATCTCTCCAGCAATGACGACTTCGTGTCGGTAGGGAGTATAGGGAGTACAGGCGGGGTTTCTTGGCTCCCCTGTGTTCTGCAGGTGGCCCGATGCCACGTTCTCGCCTACCCTGTATCTATCTCTCCCCGTCTGTACCTGGTGGGACGTTGACTACATGTGTTATTATTGTAGTGCACTGAATATCAACTCAATCATTTCCTCATCGATTGCCCACACCAGTCTGAGGTTACGAACACTTCCTGCACGACTACCTAGTCTACGTTATAAGAAGACAGCAGTTGGAAATAATGCAACAGGGATGCAGCGAAGGCTAATAAGAAGGGGTTCTGTGGCCAGTTGTCTTTTTTTGACAAGGAAAAAAGAAAAAGACAGCTCCAAAAAAGAACGGTAAGGAATGGCCTTAACAGATTGCCCCAAACGACGGCAATCCCGCTTATATATAGAAGAGGCAGGAACACACAGCACTCTGACATACTTCTTCGTCCTACATACACGTCGCGAAGAGTTCCTTGCACCGCACAAGTGAACGAGTGTACACACAACTTAGTACTTCGACGAGTCATGTAACTGCTATACACAATCCCCTCCCCAACATCGCCCTTCTACCCCCGTACCACAAACAGAGCCCAATGAAATTTGGTCACAATAACGAAACGTTACCCACAGAGGAGATATCACTCTCTGTGTTGCTCGGAGGCCAGAAAAGCACAGTACAGGTTGTACTGTTCGTAGAAAAGTATCGAAATGAATGATTCATTTGTTGGGATCACACACATACATACAATCACAGAAACCTCCCCGGTCGAGGGATTGTGATCGAAAAACGAACAGACCCGCGAATCGATCTCGCCATCACGACCACCACCACCAAAAAACGGCAAACGACCAAACGATCATCATTATTAACAATGGCGCTTCGAGGTCGCGGCACGGGGAAATGACCGTAGAATGGACGACGACGAGAAAACAAAAGTCAGCCCGCATCTGCCACGTCCTCGAGCAAAACGCCGGCATCGGAGCCATCGCTCACGGGCGGCGGCGGCCGGTGTCGTTGGCAGTACAAAATCCGGGGCAGGCACTGCAATAGTGTCCCCCTCATCTTCTGTACGATGCCTCAACGGCAACGGCGGTGGTACCGGCAGAAATACCAGCTGAGAAATACCCCAGCCGCGATTGGAGCTTGGAGCTACGGCACGCTCACCCTCACGACATTGGACCAAGCACAGCGGCGTCCGGCGCACACGGGGCAGTAGCAGCGGTGGCGGCAGCGGCGGCCGCCGTGCGCGCCGACGGCCCCGATGTGAACGGGTTCATGGGGTATCCTGCGCGCTCTTCCATCAGACCTATCGCCTCCGCCGCCAATCCCCGCTTCCCGAGCCCGGTGATCATGAGCTGGAACTCTCTGCCGAGAGTGGAGATCTCATCGTCTCCCCGGCAGAGGAGATAGTCCAAGAAACGTCCCCCACCAACGCCTCTGCCGCCGGCCGCGCCGATGTCACACGTTTATTGTTGGAGCAATTAGAGAGAGAAAGAGCATGGCGGGTAGATCGACGAGCCAAATCAGTAGCGGGTTTTGCTTGAGCGAAAACTACATGAAATCAGGACCCGGGCAATTGCACACAACCGTAGCGTATGCTCCCTTGTGCATCGTGCGCACTCAACTACTTTGGCATGCTGGGCATTGCCATAGCTATACAACAACAGCGCAGGGAAGGGCACCAACGAAGTTGGGTTTTATGATACATTGCCCTCTTCGAAAAGGCTAGCTACTACATTGAACCCGCGTGCTGTCACGTCTGGTGTTCTGTGCCACGAAGATGTGGAGATTTATCACCTGGCCGAGTCTTTCTTGATGCCCCAATCCGCCGCTACACTGCCGAAGACGTCGGTTTCCGCCCCGTCCGCGGTGATACTGCGTGCGGCCTTGGTCATCTTCACGATGGGGCGGACGATCGAGCCAGCCAGGAAGTAGACGGAGAGAGCGACGGCGACCAGGGTGCAGCAGGCGACGATGGCCGTTGGAATGATGATCTGGACGTGGAGAGAGAGACAGAAAGAGGAAGGGAGAGAGAGAGAGAGAGAGAGAGAGAGAGAGAGAGAGAGAGAGAGAGGAAAAGAGAGACAGGAGACTATAAAATTCATCTTGTAATTTCTGTGTGGTTGCACTTTGTGTCGAGTACAAAGATGGTGCCGGCATTCAAACTCTGAAGACGGGGTATGCATATATAAAGTGTCCTTTTAAACGGTATCATCTACATACAACTTGTTCATGTTGCACACAAAATCGCCCCCATACTTGACGTTTGAACAACGAAAAACGATTCACACAGGTGATCGAAATCACCGTATTGTAGTCCTCTTTCTGTTGTGTACTGTACCTGTATCGTACTGTCCCATATCACGTCCACCATTCCAACCACCGTCTCGAAAATTTCGTTCCGAGGAACAGCGCTCAGGATGTAGTGGGTTACCGTGCCCGCACCGCCGGAAATGGCCGTGTCAAAGGTGCCCTCCACGGGGGCGGCGACCAGGATCCACTCCTCTGCATTCCCGATAGCAGAAGTACAGCAACGTTGTGTCAAGAAGGAGATTGCACGAACCGGAGGAGTGGCGCACCTTACAGATAAAGGGCTGGCTCATATTTGCAGTATTTGGACTCAACGATAGTATGTTTGCAGGCAAATACCGGCTGCTGTACAGTAGAAAGGAAGAAATAGAGGAAGCGGGACGAGGGAGATGTGCACTAGGCATCAACAGAAGTCAACAAAGCGGGTATGATCGTCAGCAGACGAGCCACTCGCCCCCCATCGTCCCCCCTTGCCCCCGCCCTCGCGCACCACGGCTCGACTTCTCACCGTCGACGCCGTCGGTGGACTTCGAAGTGAAGCTTTTGACTTCGCCGTTCTCGGTGTCTGCTATCAGGTCCGTCCACCCGTCACCGTCACGACCGGAGCAGATGCCGATACCAAGGTCGCAGACCTTGCTTCCGAAACGTCAAACGGACACCATGCTTGTGAGAATGACGAAGACAGTTTTGTGTTAAGAGGCTAACAACGGGAATGCAGAAGGGCGCGACCACGCCCCCTGATTTCGATTACGAGCGCAACGATGCCCTACCACTAGATTCCACGATGACCACTGCGACCACAACCATACGGACACGCGACCACAGCCACGCTTGATGTATTATATCTATCAGATAGGCTTAAACGGACAAGCACACAGGCCACCATTGCGCACCGTTGGGGCTTCCTCCGAAGCGTCCTCGTCCCACACGCCGGCGGCCAGCACTACTCCTTCATCAGCCGTCGCCAGGATAGAGTAGCCAGTATCGAGGAAGTTGATGGCCTCCACTGACTCCTGCACTTCCTCCAGCCGCACGTCCATGCCGACCACTCCAAGGAGGCTGCCGCTAGTCGTTCCCGAGTTGCTGCCAAGCGCGGCATCCAGGAGCGCAGAATCGAAAGCGTTGCCCGAGAACAAAGATACAACACGCTCCACACAAAGCTTTGAAAGATCGCGGAAGTCCGCCTCGAAAACTTTGTTGCTGGAATGATGCTGCCGAAAGTTTTTCTTCCCGGAGCAAAAAGTGAACAACCACCAGCAAGACGTGAGGCTGCCGGGGGGTTGTACCTTGAGGGTGTGCACTGGGTTTTCAACATCCTCGCTCATGGCGTGTGCAAAGCAATCCTATGAAAAACAGTCAAGACGTTTACTTGTTCACCTGTAGACTGCACGGGCCAGGGCCACCAACCAATCGTCGTCGATTGCGCCTTTGAAGGGATCGGTGATGATGGCTGGTCCGAGAAAAGTCTCCGAGTCATAATCTTCGTCCTCGGCTGTTTCGTACCTGAAGGGCGAAGGGAGAGTTGTTGCTTGTGCCAGGATTGGAGCTTCGAGAGAGCTCCCCCACCCCGTGTGTTCACAGGCGAGGAGAACATCGAGTGTACCGCCTTTGGTTAGGAAACGGCCAAAAAGGCAGAACTCCGGGAGCGCTTGAGGTGCGGAGAAAAGGGCGAATATACGATGGCAGGCCAGGAGCCGCCTATGCCAACATGCAGCCTAAATGGCCACAGAGACTTCCTACAGAATGAATCACGCGAGCTCAGCGTGCGTGTTCTTTCAGCAAGTAGCACAACGATTAATACTTCTCACTATCAGACCTTGTTGGGAATGGCGTGCACTGCAAACCTCACATCAAACGAAACCACGACACGCGCTCTGGGCGCTGGAGGAATTCTTGTGTGGATGGGGGGGCATGCATTGGGGACATTGACCACCGTTCTCTATCCAGATATGGCCCAGCATTCCCCGAGAGGCAACCTTTCACACATGTTGCCACGATAAAAACTTAAGCTACCGTGTGACCGAAATTTTTTTATCGGCGTTCAAATGCCAGGGGGATTTTGCGGGGCGAAGAACCGATCAACCTCTTCCCCTGACACAGGCAAGACAAGGGAAGCACCCACAAAAACACCCATAACAACAGCAATACGATAATGTGTATCAGGAAATGAAGCCCCCCTCCCTGCCAGCAGCTAGGTTTGGCGTAATTGCCCTCGATCCCCTTTGCACCAGACTCCATACCGCGTACCAGGGGCGAACGGTCGGGTCGAAGCACGGAGCGATCGAACCGTCTTCCTCCACGTACTCGCATGCGAAACGAGATCCCTCCACCCCGCTGAGGTCCGTTCCCGGAAAATAGCGGAACGTCCGGCCCGTCGTCGAGAGCTCTACTCCAACGTAGACCCCCTTTGTCTCGTACGAGTTGATGTACACGGCCGGCCACAGCAGATCCAGCCGGGCGGTTTGAGTGATCGTGGCCATCTCGTCCTCCGGAACCTCGACTGTGTAGGACTCGGCATCAGCGTAGTACCTGTATGATACGGTTGATAGCGGATGGATACGGGCGGACGGCAGGGTGGACCACAATGGGTCAGCTCGTCGGTCTCCTCAACTTCACACGTTTTTGCACGGCCAGGACGAGGATGAGGATGAAGATGGGAAGGAGGGGGAGAAATGACGAGGCTTCCGCCTGCAGAAAAAATAGATTCGTGAACATGTTATTTCCAGCCCCCATCTCCAAGACTTGAAATACAACTAGCATCTGTCCCTGGGATGAGGAGTCAACGTTGGAACTCGGGGGACGGAAACAACTATGCGAGCGTCCGTATCTGCCTGATCGCTTTGCGGGCAACACCATACCTCAAGGAACGTGGCTTACTGAACGCCAATTAAGTGAGACAAAGCCCTTGAAGGTTTATCCGTCCGTGTGGCGCGTTGAGACAGGCACCCAGAATGAAGTTCTCGTTCCAGAGAAATCTAAAACGATCACGAGACGCAATATCATTTGGATCACATGTTGTTATTGGGCGCTGCTCCACACAGCAGTCGTGGCAAAGCTGTGTTGTGGCTTGGACCCGAAAGCAGTCAACTCACCAGGTGCTGCGTGACAGATCCACTTCGAAATTCATTCGGGTGAAGTTCTGCAGGTTAGCTTCTGCGCTTGTTGCGATCTCAGTATCGCGAAGGTCGGTGTGGGCCGGGGTTAGTGGGTACCCTTCATCGCCTCCAGCGAGGACTAGGTCCTGGGGTCCGTTCGTTCGTGCCGGAGAATGACGTGAAACGTGGAACCGTTAGCGGGAGCAGAGCGGGCAACAACGTGCGGAACGGCATCGTGTACAATAGAAGGCATTTCTTCTCATCAGAGAAGCGGACGCACGTAGCGTCTTCCTAAACGGCGGTGCACAGTCTCTCAGGCGTGCTCAAGATCGACAAAATTAAGTGCTTGGCACGCGCGTGCCCTGCCGGACGCCGATCGAAGGTGCAGCAGCGCGGATTTTCAACATCTTTTATGTACAAGCTCCGCATATCCTGACCTCCTGACGTGTGTCCCTGAGGGCGAACGCCGTGACGTCGAGCACACCGTACTGGAGTTTCCGGAACCTTGCTCCAATGGTGGTGGCGGCCTCCTCGCTGGCGTTCGTGAGGTGTCGCTTGATCTGGTTCTCCAGGCTGACACGGGCCGCGACCCTGGCCTTGTCGCCGATGAAGGCCGTCGTGCCTATGACAACCGCTAGGGCCAGCAGCAGGCTTGCCTGTAAGGTTGCGGGAGATGCAACGGGGTAGCTACAGTTAAGTAAAACTTTTTGCTGTAGGTGGAATGATGCTGGTCAGCCTCATGGCATGGGACACGGCTTGCTTTCGAAATTGACCGTTACACATCACTGGAACAAACCCCGAGCGCCGGCCGACCTTTCGCGCGCGCATCATGACAACGCGGTGCTGCCGGTCCGCAACAACCTCGAAGGACCTACAGCAGGAAGTAGACCTCTCTGTGTGGGGGGGGTTGTGAGGTCTATTTACACTCTGTTAGTGATTCTTTAGGACTAACCGATGTTGCACTTTGCAAGGCTAGGTTCCTCACGCGAGCAAGGCTAGGTTCCTCACCCCACATCTACCCTAACCCTCACCCACGGCCAAAGCACGGCCTAGCGGCCGCGAACTGGTCGAGAACGCGGCTCAGGGTACAAACCACTCGGAAAGGGAAGACAAAATTATAGCAAGAAAAGAACAGCTACCGCACCGACCGGTCGAGAAAAGGAGCCCTGGGTAACCGATCAAAATTAAACAAAACAAAAATCATGCAGGTACTTTCTGACGCTATGAATTCATTGCTAATCTGTCTCAGACTCTATGATAGAGATGGTTCGAAATAAAGGCGAAAATATAAAGTGAAAAGGGAGGACGCTTCCCACACCCGCCTAAAAAAAGCAAAGGGTACCGTACCAGCATCAGGCACTACGCACCAGGGCATGGGAGTAATAAATGTTGTTGTCTTCACATTAAAAACCGTTCCGATCTCTCTCTACCCAGTACCTTCATATGTCCGTACTGATCCAACACTTGACGCGGTCGATTCCCGTGGTCACAGGCTAACTTACCCTAAGAAGGTACGCTCAAACAAACTGGCCCCAAGGGGTCCGCAAGTCAATAGAAACCAACGACAGATACTCTGGAGTCCTCCGCTCCCTCTGCGCGCTATGCGAGGTAACAACTGAGACTAGGAGTCAGCATCACGGGTCAGAGAAAGAGGTACACCCCCTTGGTTCAATCTTGGTAACAGAACAAAGAGGCGGCAGACGGGCAGACAGCCATCTATATAAAAGCAAAAGCAACAGCAAAAAGGGGAGATCAAGGTAGTACCCAATAAGGCAGAGTAGGCAGGGAGGAGATGAAAAAGAAGCACAGCACTGAGGCCGAAGGCAAAATACAAAGGACATACAGGAGTATAGCATACAGCAGGGAACGGGCGCAACACTATGTAGGCATCCTGCTACTATTTCAGCACACAGAGAGCAGGGAATCGCAAAACAGGGGCCACCACGACTGCTATACCACTTTTGTCTACCCTGTGGGGATGCATGTGCCAAGTGCCGCATTATAGCACCTATCCAGTGTGGCGCACTGACCTCTGAACAAATCAACCAGTCAGTCGTGTGTTTCGGGGTACTGGTTCCAGGTAAAAGTGCAAAAACGGAGTGCTGCTGTCTGTTGCTGTCGAAACAACGACCTCACCGTGGCAAATGCAAGGAAACTCAGCAGGAGCTGCTTCCGCAGGGGGTACGCCTGGTTGAGGCATGGCTTGCACAGGCCCACCACGCGGAATATCATGCCTCACTCACTCTCGTTCTCTCTCTTTGCCGAAGCTGAGAAGAGGTTGATGGTTTCGCCGATGATATTAGACTGAAATGAATCTGCATTGATTTGCCTTGGAGGCGCGAGAGAGAGAGCTCAACACCTCTTCAACAAACACTCTACAGCATACAGCAGCTTTATGGAGACCTGTTGGCAGACTGGGCCACTGGACCCAGGACCCAAGGACAAAAGCGAGAATATTCTTATCTGACCCCCCCCCCATAAAAAGTCGGGCTACTCGAACATACTGACGTAACATCCGAGAACCTTCAACCATTATATGCTGGCGTCGGTCCGCCTTTTTTCTGGACGCATCGACCACTCGAGGTCAACAACAACAACAACATTGACACAATAACAACAAAACACCAACATCAACAATAACAACCAGCCCTACCGCGTTTTGGAGGATTTTTTCCCTGGTTCATGTCCATTTGTTTCGTTCTCTAGAAAGATGTGCGCCTGTTTGTTTAGTTGGCTTGCGACCACGGCTGGACAACAAGGCCTCTTGCCTCTTGCCGCGTTGTAAGTTGGACCAGACGGAGACCGGAACAGTTCTTTTTTTTTTTTTTCCTTAATATGACACCACGAAACCATCTCCATCATCATGTCGAAAAGAGTCTGAGACAGATTAGCAATGGATTCAGTTCTTGTTGGTGTGCAATTTTATTTTTTTATTTTCTGCAGAGTAGTAACGACGTTTGCTGATTGGATGATGCGGACAGTTCCGGTCCGGGCGTGCAAAAACCGCAAGCTCCCTCCTCACGAGTTGCCCCATCCGAGCCGTCTCTCTCGTACCCCGTACCTACCTGTACATGTAGTTAGCCCGCATGCTTAAACTTGGAAACTTGGAAATTTGTGATAGAGTCATGTAGTTCAGCAGTAGTATATCATTGATCGATGTTTGGATCATCGGCGACGCCCGTGATTGGTGGGCACAGGGCAGGTGAATAATATCGATGGACGGTTGACTGAAGCAAACCCGCCAGTCTCGCGGTCAGTTCCTACACGAGTTGATCATGGACTGCTGTCGCTGTCGAGCACGCCTCTTTCTCTCCTCTCCTCTCTCTCTCTCTCTCTCTCTCTCTCTCTCTCTCTCTCTCTGTCTCTCTCTCTCTCTCTCTCTCTCTCTGTCTCTCTCTGTCTCTCTCTCTCTCTCTCTCTCTCTCTCTCTCTCTCTCTCTCTCTCTCTCTCTCTCTCTCTCTCTTCTCTCTCTCGAAGTTTTCGAGCGACGTACGCACGTGTTCACGTTGAACACGAAGTTGCGCAAAAGGGCTGTAGAAGCGGCTGTCGCAGCGATGCATCAGCAGCAGTAGTAGTCTACAACATAATACCAGCGCATCACCACCACCGCACTTATATTATAACAACAGGAGTTTTGCGGGGAGCAAAACAAACAAAGCATTCAGCTCTGGTAGAATGATGAAGCCCCCCAACATTGCAAATTACTTTTACCTATATATAGAAAAAGTCGAGACAGGTTCGTTCGTCTTACATGTAGATCGCAGACGCAGGACGTCATGTGGAGAGAGAAGATACGTACGAAGTACGCGCTTCACCCGCCCTCTTGCCATCGACCTCAGAGCCTCCCGGAACGTCCCCAGGAGGAGGAGCGGGCAGCCACGCCGGTGCGGATCCACGATACTTAGGTGGACGAGAGACAAGGGCCCCCAGCATATTCCGTGGTTTATTGTATCCATCGTACTTGGTCACCGCGGAAGAACCGCGTCGATAGACAGTTCCCTGTACCACTTTGTATCGCTAACCCTGTCGTCGTCTCGTCGCTCCAGAAGATGAGATGATGATGTTGTCCGAGTCGTCTTCTCCGTCTGGATGTAATCAATCCGGTTTCGTCCGCTGGAGGAGTGACCTCAGAACCACCCACACGCATCGTGATTGTAGGGTTTGGCCCATAAAACCCCGGCGAGGAATACACCCCGGACTACCACGGTAGGCGTACAAGGGTACGCTTACAAGGATAATTAAGGCGACTCTATTAATGTTCGTTTTGTCACTATCACGGATCTTTGGTTACTTTATATATTTTGTTGTATTTTTGTTCCCTCGGCATCGCATGCCGAGCGGGAGCAATGAGCTCTGTTTCTTCTGCATGGGGCCTTCGTTAACTGTACGAAGGTATCATGTTTTCTAGTGTTCTTTTTCTGGGTTCGGTCGCCTCCTGGAATATACTTTAGTGATCTCTATCGCGTTCTTCTGAGGACTTGCTGAGTCCGTTTACGTTCCTGTTTGATATCTAGCAGTGCATGCATCGTATACAGTTTCGGGTACTACGTAGGTGGCCTGTGACTTCGGAAGGCGCCCGCATCAGGTGGACCGGTACGGACATCAGAAGGTCCTCAGCAGAGAGCGCACCGTTTGTTTATATGAAGGAAGTAGCAACAACAACAACAACAACAACAATAACAACAACCTCACAGCAACAACATCGTTCGTTGTGCCGAGTCCAACATCACTGTGGCTTGACCACGTCCCTCCACTTGGTGACCGCACAAACCGCCGCTTCTCCGGCCAGCGTCATTCTCCTGGCGCACACCTCCGCGCGCCGCACGGCCTCCTCCGCCTCGTGGAACATGGCCTCGAGACCAAACACGCCATGGCCACCGTAGTCACCGCCGCCGCTCTTTGCCGGACTGGCGTTAGCCCCCACCTGCTCCTGCCGCGCTTCCTTCGTGTTCTTGGCAGACACAACGGCGGCAGAAGCGGCCTTGTCCAGTGCCCTGGCCGCCTTGCACTCCGCCCGCAACTCGGCCGCCGCCGCCACCGCGAGCAGGGCCGATTCCGACAGGACGCTCACCGCTGCTGCCGTCGCCTCCACCGCCTCCGCGGACTTCATCGCCGCCGGGTGGGCGGGGTCCACCAGTCCTCCCGCACGCGACTTAAGCCGTTTCACGAGCCGCACCATCAGGTCGACCTGCGCCTCGGCGACCGTGAGCCGGACCGCGCGCCTCCTCGCGGGGATGGTGGAGTTAGGGTCGAGCCAGCTGTGCCCGGCGGCAACGTAGGCGGACATGCGGTCGCTCGGGTTCTTCTGCAGGAGCTTGTGTTGTCGCGTGTTGAACGGGGGGTTGGAAAAACAGGGCGCGGGGCAGGCGAGACGGATGCGAGGCGTCATGAGAAGGGTCGATAGAGCGGGAGGATGAAGCGGCGAGAGGGAAGAGACAGCGGGCGCAGGTGCTCGAGGTACGTGGTGGGCTGGGCGCGAGAGGGGCGGCGGCAGGCGACACACTCTCACATCTCGGGTTGGGAGGTAAAGAGACGATAGTTGTGTAATGCTGTCACGTTGTTCACACTTTCAACATTTTCTCGAGACTCGTGATCATCGTCGCCAAACTACCCCCTATATGTCCACAACCTCAGTGCATTCTCACCGCAGCTCTCGTGCTTGTTACAATCCCCCCATGGCTTGGCATTCCTGTCGGTCTGGCAAACAAGCCCGTCGTAGGTCCCACGAGCAATCCACTACCGTACCACCCGGCCGTGTCCTGGTCTCCCGTTCTGTCCGAAACACCAACATAGGCATGGTGTGCACAAGAACCCAAGTTCAGCCTAGGTAATTCGACACGCCGCTCAAGCTCGCAGAAGCATGCCTACCACGGCTGGTAGTTTTGACCCCGCACAAGAAACAGTTCCAGGACCTCGCGCCCCGGGCGGCCACGAATCTCAGTGCACCCCCGACCAAGCCGCTCACCTTCTCGATGAACCGTCGTCCTTGGTGCCCGACAGCACCATCGTCTACCGTGTACTCTCCGTTGATGATGTCAGCGCGCACTCTTTCCCTCCACGTCACCTTGGCCTCCTTCCGTGCCCTCTTTTCGCGCAGAAGACCGTCACGGTCACCTGTCGCCAGAATCGACGCCGGTCGGGGCGACGCCCCCCGGCTGCTGCTGCTGCTGTTGCGGAAACTGGTGCCGGGTCCACTACCGCAATCGGTGACGATCGAGCCGCTTGAATCGGTGCTCACGCTCCCGCCGCTGCCGCGGGGGGCGGTGCTACTCTTCCCACCACCAGCAAACGGGAGGACGCCCATCATTAGCTCGTAGGCCACCACGCCCGTCGCCCACATGTCGACCGCCGTCCCGAACTTTGCACCATTGAACAGCTCCGGCGACATGTACGGCTTTAGGCGTAGGGCGACGGCAAACAAGAGTGGATAAAATGCAGTTCAAGGGCTTCGCCGATGTTGAATCTACGTGCAATTTATGCCTAAGGCCATGATGCGCAAATAAACGGGGGCTTGTGGGAGTCAAGAGAACCATGAGGGCCTCGCATGCAAACAAGATGCCCGTGTTTGAGCACAGGCCCCAAAGATGTCACCACCCACCCCGTGTTGCCCCCATATGTGTTGGCTGTTCGGATGTTTGGCGCTGCCGAACAGTGCTTTCAGAATATTTTGGGGCTTTGAGGTCGGGAAACAAAACCAAAACGCCGGAAAAACTAGGTGCCTGAACTTCACTAGTTCCAAGAATGGTATCCTCGAGGATGGTGAACCTGAAGGCATGACATTGACGAAAAAATGCGAACAAGGCGCATGGATCTACGTTGACGTGGTGGAAGTCTTGACACATCCTATATAAAACAGCAATCCGACCCTCAACCTCCCAGTGCCTTTGCTCCCTTAGACGGCCGCTTCTCAGGTGGATGAGTGGATGCCTTCCATCGTCTACATTTTACCCTTGAAAATAACAACCGACCGGTCGGACAAATCGTAATTTGTCAACAATCGACGCGTGTCATACTGATGAGTATTCTCACCAAGGTTCTACAGGCACCGTTGACGCCGGCGTGGCCTCTAGGGACTTTAGCCGACAGCCCGAAGTCCGCCAGCCGCATCTTGTCTGGTTTAGGGGGGTGGGCGGGAGGTGGTAGTGGTGGGGTTAGATGCAAGAAGACTCCACGAAACGTTTTGCACAGAAAACTGGAGCACGATGCACGACAACGAGGAACGGGGGGGATACGCATCGCCGCGTGAAGTATATCATTTTGGTCATCTCTCCTTCTCCCTCTTCCCCGTCTCTCGGTCACCGCATAAAACGTTTTCAGTTTTGTTTGTTCACAATGTTCCAAAAAGATCCGGTTGGAGTAGCAGGAGCCAAACATACGGTAGAATATCGGGCTGTTCGACGAGTTGTTCCATTGGTTATCTCAAGTTAGCCGTTACTGGAACATTCTAACTGCACTACAGTCGCCTTGTACGATGATGGCGTGGAAGAGTGGAATCGCGCGAAAAACAATAGGAAGAACAACGAGACTGTTAACGAAGTCGGTAAAACAGGATAGGTGAAAAACACCTCAAATAACACAAGACACAAGGAAATGAAAACAATACACTTATACTCCCGACGAGGAGCATGTTGGCAGGCTTGACGTCACAGTGCACGATTCTCCGCGCGTGCAGGAACTCCAACGCGGAGACCAGCTGCCGGATGAGGAACACGGCCTGCTTCTCGGTCAGGCGGCCGGCGTGCTGCGTTCGCGCACAATACGTCCATCCCCAATAACCACAGGAGTTTGAGCGCGCAGTAGCAATGTAATAGAAGAAAGGAGCGGGCGTCAGGGTGACCGCTGCATGTCACCAACAGGCAGCAGGCGATGTGGTGTGTGTGCAGGAACAAACGGAAACAAAGCATCACCTAGTATGGGCAGCAGGGCGGGCGTTCATTATGCTTTTGGGAGGGGTACGTGGGAGCGGTTTCGGATACGCTGTGGTTGTTGTTGTTGCTTCCATCGTCAGTACATCATCGCAAGCGTTTACGGCAAACAATTGGTTGCTTGGTCGTAAACCAAACCACGTGACTTGCCAACATCCGCGAAGATGCAAATCAGAAACCAACGCAAGGCAGGGCGGCGGCAATAACAATATATTGTCACCTGATACCCGTTCTGTTGTAGTTTCGAGCTCACCTTCATCATGGCAGCTACGTCGCCGTCCGCCAAGGACATGAGCGTGTAGTATCTGTCGAGAGCGAGACACGGCGGGCAGACCGGGTCGATCAATACAAGGTGCAAACGAAACTCGGGAAAATACCCCACCCGCCATGCTCGTGTGTTCTGAACCCCGCATTTGAACAGGGGTACAGAAGCGATACACGCTGTCGAAGAGCCCATCGCGTTGAAGAATGATGGAGAGAGACGACTAAAGCTCCCCAGGAGCACCAACACTGTGGATTCGCACGCGGAATCGACACGAACAACCAGTAAATAGTTCAGCAGATCAAATCTGCGGCAACGGCGGCAACAGCAGCAACAGCAGCAGCAACAACATCAACGACAAGACGTGCCGCTGAGGATTTCAGGAACGTAAAAACTTCGAAAAGAACGCACAACTGAAACTGAGATTCACCCAGCAACGCCGCGCACCCTCGCGAGCTTTGATCTTCTTAATGATAGCCTCCACCGTCAAATCGTTCGAATCTGACCCAGTCTCAAAGCTTTTGGGAGGCATGTCTCCCCGCTGATCAGCATTTTCACCGGCGTTCAGTCGATGTTGGGCCGTGTCCTCCAGAGGGAGCAATGTTCCACAGGGAACGAGAACTTAGGAAATAGAAGGTTGATATTCGACGTGGCAGTAAGGTTGTCTGTTTCTCCTCTTCTCGAGTATTGTCCGCGCTTCTCGTTTGCCACCAAGAGGGGAATCGCTGCCGCTGGCGTTAACGTAAAATATTGTTTCCCTTCTGCTTGATTCCCGTTTGCACAACGAAGTTCATATGCATGGCAACAACAAACACCGAGCACCTAACGTACAAAACTACGTTGTTTTCGATATTCATGTTTCTTCTCACTCACGTGGTGTTGGTCTTGATAACTCCAAGCATGTCGACCACGTTCGGGTGCGGCGCACAGACCTCGAGAAGTTCTGCCTCCTGCCGGGCCTCTTTCTCCTGCGTGAGGTATCGAATTGATGGCGGGGGGAGGAGGGGGTGCTCATTGTCATGCGTCGACCATGCACTTTGCATCTCTCCAACGCCAGATTGGAGCACGATGGCGTTTCACCAGACCAGGCTCGCAAATGATGCAGGGTGAAGCACCGTGAGGGGGAGGTGGAAGGAGGTTCAACGAAACACAAAAAAAAGAGGGTGATCACGACAAAAAATAGAGTAGTGCATGGGAAAATTCGATTCTCTCGGCCCGCTCTGTTTCGTGAACAGTGTTTGTGCCCACCTACTTCTTCTTGTCTTCACTTCAAATCAGCCCTCACAGCTCTAGTGCCGTTTACTCCAACCCGTGGTCACACAGAAGAGCTCCACTCTACCGTCCCCTCCTGCGGTACTTTGCCTTCGATTTTTAATGCGAGAAGAGTTCAGCACTCTCTTCCCTCTGTGTACACACTAACTACCGCTATCCACTAGATAGACCAGGAGCGGAAGCGAGAGAAAAACTCACTTTGCAAGAAAAGCTCGCTTACGCCGGGATTCGAACCCCTGACCTAACCTCTAGAAGGTTTCGAGGTTACCAACTAGACCACCGGGGCGACCGGCGTACTACGGACCTTGGCGAACTGGTAGCATATAGTACAGCACCCATGTTGCGGAAGTTCTGGGTAGATGTCGGGTAGAAGAATAGAATACTTATGAAATGGATCACTACCGACGACGATGATGACGTCGATGCCGGGGGGGCTCGATAAGTTAGAGGTGGTAATTTGCACACCTAGTAGACCGTTGTTCGGTCGTTTTCGTGTCAACGTTCGGCCATGTCCGACACGACGCACACCATATGACTAGAGTTCCAACATGTGGGCTACACACGCTGAACAACGAGACGAACGCGGCCGTCCTTCTTGCAGAAAACCGAAAATGTTAAGCTGTTCGAGCAAGGGGGAATTAACCACGCTGCAACCTCACCCCTACACTAAACTTCAATTGACAAATTTCCTCCCGGACGTCCTCCGTCATAAAAAAATGTTTTCTGACCATGTGCTTCAGCAGGGCAAAAACGGAAGATTTGTCCGTACTTCCGCCCTTTGTGATTTTCAAAGGGGAAGGGCGGAGGGGGGGAAGATCCTAGGCGGGCGAAAGAAAGGGAGGAATCACATCTTCTCACTTTTTGTACATCTCCGTCGGTTTGCACGACCTTCATGGCCAGCAGCCGGCCATTCGCCGTCCTTACTGCCACCACCGCGCCTGCCCAGCCACCGCGCGAATACCACAGCCGGGAAGCATATACAAGCAGGAAAAAGTGCCATCGACAGCAAATAAGCAAGAGGTATGGTAAAGTTGGGAGGGGAGAGCGGCGGGTAGGCGGCGGTGACCCGCCTTACAGAACATGAGTAAGAATGGCTCAACATGGCTTGTATTCCGGAGGGAGAGCAACCCTGTACTTGGCATACCTGGCATATATTCTGGAACAAAGAGGGAGAAAAAACATACCGAACCAATGATCCAAACAAATGGTATGATGTTCTGAACCAGTTATGCAATTGTTTTTGTTTGTTGTTTGGAATGTCGTTGAAACGGCGCTGAATGTTGTGCAAATATCCTCTTTTCTTTAATCACAGTTTGCTTAAGCAGAAGCCACAAGCACTGCATGCGCACCAAAGCTGCCTTGCGCGAAAAGTCCAAGCGTCTTGTCCTCCCTTAGCATCCCAAGACTCCACGTGCAGCCGCTGTCGTTCTCCTGTCCAGGGGGTCTGAGCTCTTCCATCACCGGGGATCCCGTCTCCCCCTCCACGCCCAAGACCACGAGAGTTTCTCCCTCCTCCGGCGGGCACAGCTCATACTGCTGCTGCTGCGGCTGCTGTTGCTGGTCCCAAGAACACGGCCTCTCTGTCTCCTTCTCACCAGCATCGTGGCGAACCCTCGGTTTCACGCGCCGCTCCTCGTGGTGTGATCGCCGCGCCGCCTGCCCACTCGCCAAGGACTCCTTCACCGCCTCCGACTTGACAACCCGTGCAGCGGTAACGCCAGCGAGGGTCGTCTCGGCAGCAATGTTCGGCACCTCTGAGTCAGCAATCGCGATGTGCGCCCAGGACCGGGTCAGCGCCATTTGGGCATCTCCAACAACGCAAGTGCCGCAGGGCAGAGCGCCGTGAAGCCTTGATGGTGATGGCGGCACCTTGACGACGGGGCCGGCAACACTTCTGCTGCGGGGCAGGAGAGCGGTCGTCGTCGGCGCGCTGCCGCCGGCCGAGCTTCCACTCGGTGCAGAGAGGGGCCGCGAGATGTCGGTGATGGATAGTACCGGCGAGCGGGCGAACTGCGGCGGTGGTGTGAGCGGCGGGGTGCGGTTCGGCCCCTTGACGCCCAAAGAACGACCAGCAGAGCCCTGAAGGCCAACCGCTCCTGCAACAGAAGATGTCTTGTTAGCTTTCCCTTCATACAACGGCAACTTGACTGCTGGCAGGCTGGGCGAGTTTCCAGAGGTCATGGGGCGGAACGTGCGTGCGACAGCGGGTCCTCCTCCTATCGCTGGGATCGACGACAGCTTCGTCACATCGTCCGCAGATCTCCTCGGAGACGCTGCCTTGTCTACGTCTGGTCCGTCCGCCGCCTCCGTAGTTCCACCTCCCATCAAGCGTGGTGACCTTTTGATCAGAGCCATGGTATGAGCACCAACCTCCGTGTCGCCCCTCGCCACCACCGTGGACTTCGGTGCCCTGCCCTCCTGCGCCATCAGGACTCCGAATCCCTCCCGCGCTTCCTCGATGACTCCGATTGACCTTCCCCTCGCTGACCCCGCCGCTGCCTCTGCCTGATTCTCATGCATCTGCTGATGCTCTGCTGTGCTTCTTTCGGTTAGGCCCTCGGCCAGCACGATCGCCGCAGCCGCTGTCACCTGAACATCAAGAGCTGTACAGTCAGGTACATATGACTTCGGAACACTGTTAATTGATTGTCGCACACTGTTGATTGATTGTCGCAGGGCGAGAGAGGAGAAAGAGATTGAGAGAGAGAGAGAGAGATTGAGAGAGAGAGAGAGAGAGAGAGAGAGAGAGAGAGAGAGAGAGAGAAAGGGAAAGATAGAAATAGAGAGAGAGAGAGAGGAAGGGAAAGATAGAAATAGAGAGGCTGCATGTCCAACAACAGCCAAAACCAGTCTTTACCGAGGAAGAATGAGCGCTAGGGGTCCCAGGCACAACACCGGCGGATCCACGGTGGAACTCAACAATCGGAGAAAATAATCCATGCTTGGACAACGAAGCGACAGGTACATACCATATACATGCCAGCAATAACTTTTCGCTTCGCATGATTGGTTTGATGTTTGAACACAAGCGTGACCGCAAGCGGGTAGAAAATCCGAAAATCCATCCTTACGTCATGCACAGACAGGCATCACCAGCTACATACGGGGTGAAACAGAAGAGAGAGATCGCGACCCAAGGTAGAACTCATTGCACCAACAAGTGAGACCTGGTTTCCTCCCAACTGCTGCGCATCCGGAACAAACCCCCGCTGGGTGCTGGTACCACATCCTTTCAGTCTGCGTCTGATGAATTCAAGGACAACAGGAGGAAGAAGCGACAACATTCATTCAAACGAATACTGGGCGAACGACAGACAGAGCAACCAAGAGTTTGTCCAGGGAAATCGAAGGGTATGGTTCGGCTTTCGGTCTCCTCCGTATCACGGCCGGGTAGATCCCTACTCAGATACCTGTCTTACTTCTAGGAAAACTATACATGGTAGTACTCTTATCTCATTTATCGTCCGGACTGATAAACAAAAACCGGTCTCCTCCGTATCACGGCCGGGTGGATCCCTACTCAGATACCTGTCTTACTTCTGGGAAACCTACAGCACTCTTATCTCATTTATCGTCCGAACTGATAACAATGGTGCTTCTATGTAGACATTCTATAAACGGGGGGCAGTGGAAGTTTTCTTGGTGGCGTACATTGCCGGTAGAATGCCATGCTCTTTGGATGTATTTATCTTGTCCACAGCAGGATCCATTACGTCCTCTAGGGCCACTGCTCCTGTGCCGCACGGGACAGATGTATAACAGGCCATAGTACACCCGGGTTCATCTTTGAGAGATTACATATGCTCGGTTGAAGGCAAGACGAGGGTCTGAGGATATCCGGCAAACACCCCACACACACATGTACATCGGTCGCACCTCCATGTCCACTTCCGCCACCACCGGCGTCGCCAAAAGCTGGAAGCCACCGCGGGCATATTTCCAACCCTGCGAGCGTCTGCAAGCCTCTCCTTCCCAGTTTACCAGAGTGGTCAAAGGCAGGGGCTCAATCCAACCGAGACTGTGCTCCCGTGATTGTGACCTCCACCACATCCCTTGTTTGGCGTCGTCCGGAAGATGCGGATCCGTTTTACGTTTTGCCGATCTCGGCGGCCCGAATGGTAACATACGGTGCGGAACTTTCTGGCGAACCGGTCGATATTGCAGGTTTCGCAGTTTGCAGTTTGCAGCAGCCTGCAGGCCCGCAAGCTTCCTACCTCCCACCCAGCTTCTCCCACCACTTGCCCACACTTGGTTGTACAGCAGTAAACCACCTCAGGAACCACTGTGTGATCGAAGCAGTGGGACAGAAGCACATCCGTCTGTGCGATACTCGGATGGCCAAGTCAAAAGATGACGATGGTGAGCTGACGGGAGCAGAACAACGCGGGCGGGCGTGCCTGTCTCCGTACGTTCGCCCGGGAGCTGTCCGACACAGGCAGACAACACCGTGGAGACTTAAAGTCCGGCTTCTGAATACGGAGGCGATGGAGGCTCTGCTATACGGAGGCCCGCGCCGCGACCGCTACCAGTTGATCTCCTCCATGTTCCGCGGGCCTGTTACGATCTTCTACGTTTCGCCGCTCCGGCGGAGTGGTTCCGAGGACGACCTATCGCTCTCAGATCCGCTACGGGTCATCGGGTACCGCCGCACGAGCGGCAAATGAACGGCAGCTCTCCTCCGCCTAGACCCTAAGCGCGGATGCCAACTCATCGTCCGGACACGGCGACTATTGTTCCCTGGAGCATTGGCCTGACAGCCAGACGGACGACTCTTGAAGCGAGTGATGTTCGGCGACATCGTTCGGGGCAGGCACGGGGTGGGACAGCGTTGATTGGACGAAATAAATGCTTGGACGACTTCAAAAACGTTCGACGCCAGAGCCGACTCCTCGTGCCTGTGTACATGGGGTTGCTACAGGGGTTGGAGAGGTTCAGGTCGCCTGGCACGAGGAGGACAACAAGGCCGGCACACTACACTGTACCGTACGCGCGGAAAACGGGCTACGCGCGGAAAACGGGCTAGCAAAATATGCACACAATACATTACGTCAACATCAGAGCCGAAAGAAGACTGAAACAACCACCGAGGCGGGGGTGGGGGGGGACGGGGAAGTGTCGAGAGACCCGGTTAGCAGAAATGGCGGCAGGTGAGGAGAGCAGGACGGAGGTGGCAGAACGTGGAACGAGATATGTGTAGAGGACTGGATATGATGGAGGTGGTCGCAGGGATAACCAGTCACATTTATCCCTCTAGTCTACATATTTTTGGCGCCACTGTACCCCCCCCCCCCCCCCCCCCCACCCCC